GAGCAATATCACTAAATTGCAGGAATCATAATCCTAACTTGGCATTCTTAATTATAAACATGTGTGTGTGTGTGTATGTGCATTTATACATGTGTTATATACTTATGTATGTATATGTGACTATGTATGCTTATGTATTTATAGAATATTTATCTGTTTAACCATTAATGTTTTTCGTAATAATAGGGACTTCTTAATGCACCATAGACTACCCAAATGTTCAATTGTATCCTGTTTATTATATTGAAGTTGCGTGGAAGAAAATGCTTTTTAGCAATAAGGCCGCCAATTGTACTGTCTATTATATTATTATGTACTGTTCATTTGGTGTGTACAATAGTATTTCATTCAACATGATTTTGTAATTTCACTCCATTATAATAAACAGGGTTCAAAAAATAAATAAATATTAAACCGCATAAATTTTGCATGACAATGATATATTGATATAATTAAATATCATAATTTTGCAATCCAATGGTGAGAATTCAATCTCGGGTACCTGGGACTAGTGATTATTAAGCGTGTCTTTTTATGTAAAAAAAATCACTATGTAAGTAAAGAAATATTGTGCATTCTATTTGACTAAGTAATAAACAAAGGTGTATACTTATGCATTTAAATATTTTATGTATTCAGGTAGAAAGTAAAATTCAATGACAAAACGTGCTCGGACGCAAATGTTCCCCTGAGTTTTACAAGTTAAGGAACTCTTTCACTATTGCGGAAGCACTTTACTTTTGTCAACGAGTAAAGTCCTACGCAAAAACTAAAAATTGAAAAGCTCGATTTAATCTAAAAAATAAATTTGCATGAATATTCTGCGTTTGGGTTTACTTACGTACTGTGCGAATAAACATAAATTACGAAAATAAAAATAAAGACATTTAAAATCAAAGGCATAAACGAAGTAAATGTAAGAAACATAATGAAAAGATGAACGGTGACCCACATGCCTCATATTAACACTAAATGAGAATGAAGTTCGTGTGGTACGGCAGCTGAGGAATCATTGTAGCAGTACCACAACGATGTTTTATTTACACTGTAAACTTAGATTATATATTCTCACTGTAAACTACAACGTGCAATTATTATACTTACAATTATGTTCAATTCATGAACATTTTATTAGTATAGGAATTATACCTGTTGAGCGTGGTGGTAATGCGATAGAAAATCAAACGGTTTAAGTCAGACACTTTGTACAGTGCAGTGTATAATATCAAATGATGATTTTCCATTGGATGTTAAGCTCGCGCTTAAGCCAACCACACGGCGTTATGTTACAAAAGTGAAACATCCGAGCAGTCTAGACATGTATAAGGGTACCAGAATTTGATGGCATTTCGCGAAACTTGAAGTTGTAGAAGGCAACATTCTTTATCTTATGTTGCATGAAATGCTTGATTTGTAAATTAAAGGTGTTTAAACTTAAACATGTTTCGGAAGAGAGGATCCTCCTGATACAGGCATCTTAGTATGTTTACTAGGATGGACCAACTACTACTATATGTACCCTTTAAAATTAGAATGAATAAACATTTCTGATTTTCATTTTGCAAAGGATAAAGACGTTTTGATACTTGTAATATTTTAATATAATAAAAACTTTTCATCATCTACCTCATAGCATTGAACATACTTCTGACCAAATTCCGTTCACATAGCAAAATCTCATATTATATATGGGAGACCCGGAATCTAACACTAATAAATAAAAGAAGATTTACTTTATGTATTTTTTATAACTAATCTCTACTAATATGTCTAATGCAACTGTCTTTTTACGCTTACAAATTTAAATGAAATCCGCTTTAATTTATTTTTTCTTTTCACCGTTCCTAATTTCCCCCGGCGTGTAAAAATGTCGTCATATCTTCTCTTTTAGTAATAATTCGTTTTATTGTAGTAGTTGTCATGCCGACGAATATTTAGCAATTAATGCTTTAGAAAAAATCAGTGGCTTTTTGGGCATTTTCACAAAACAAATTAATATTTTCACTGTCACCGACGTAGCAGGCCACATATCAAGTCTATGGTTGCATTATATTTAAAAATTAAAAGAAAGAATAAATGAGTTCCCAACAAAGTGGTGTCAAAGAAGTCAGGAAAAATTTTACTCACTATTTCAAATATTTTAAAATATATTTTTTCGTAGTATTTAAATACTACAAAGTTGTGCGTTAGTAATTATCCACACCATAAAAACGTAAGTACGTTCCATATTCATTACTTTTGGAATTATACGTTTTCATTTCATAACTATCATGATAACCCGATCAAAAGCTAAAGCTATGGGCACCGATCAGAGCGAGGGCTCATCGGTCGGCTCAACATCGTCTATTAAGGCACAAAAGCTGCCTTGCTGCGGAGGCTACGTACCTCCGCCGTATTGAGGACTTAGAGAGGGCAGAACGTCGAACCTTCTTAGAAGCAGATCGCTCCATAGTGGAGGCAGAGCACCGTGCGGAAAAGGTCGCAATTGAGGCCACAGAGGGAACCAGTCAGGTTTCCAGCCGACGTTCAAGTGTTTCTAGTCGTCACAGTTGCCGCATCGTTCATAGCTGGCGAAAGCGTAATAAAGAATACTATATCTTATAGTGACAATTTAAATGTACAGGTGCCACCGATGGCTAGCGTGGATATTCTAGAGGCGCATTCGTCGCCATCAAGAGGCGCAGAGGGTTTTGCAGCCCCCATCTCATCGAATACCAGCATGCCCCTACCACGCACACGTACCACAACTAACGTCACATCTAACATTCCAATAATAACAAGTGCCCTTTTATGTGCAGATACGTTTCCTGAGACTTCTGTGCCCGATTTTGCGTATAAGTGCGCACCTATTGCGCCTCAACCTACTGAAGTTAATGGATGCTACGTACCGCACTACCTAGTCACACCTATGGCACAAGCTGCCTCTGTACCACACCTTGCGCCTTGCACGCCCCGTTTGCCAGGGTGTGCACACACACACTTAATGGCTCCTCAGAACTTCGGTCAAGCACACGCTGCACAGGCGTTTCTAAAGCCTTCCCAACAAAGTTGTCACACCGGGGGCGACCATGTCACCGACGTAGCAGGCCACATATCAAATCTATGGTTGCATTATATTTAAATAATAAAAGAAAGAATAGATGAGTTCCCAACATTCACAAATATTCATAAAAATTGACACTTTGACTTGACAGTTATCAACAATTAATAATTTATATTGTCAGGTGAAAATCGATATTTACTCATTTTATTTTGTGCCATCAAATTCTGGTACACCTATAACACTGACGTCATCGACCACGTTTTTAGTGGAAGTAGGAACGTGTTTTTATATTTTATATTATATTCATCACAGAAAAATCATAAGAACGACGTTCGTTATCAAGTGGAAAGTACATCAGTTAAAGATGTCGCCATCTGTGACAAACCACTGCTGTCATCTGTGAACTTTTCTGCATTGTTAGGATCTGAGTGTTATGATACCTTCGTTGTGTTAAATTTCCACAGCATTCGAGACTTTTTAAATCTAAGTAATGTATATGATGTCGTATTAGTCATTTTTATTATTTATAGTTAATAAAAGTCGATACTTCTATTCTGCAACAGCGGGATAGCCCCTTTAATATGCATTTCACTTGAGAGAAAGTAAGGGAGAGTGTCGTTAGGCACGCTCTTAGTGCAAAGGGGTTGAAAAGGTTCTTATGTAACAAAGCTGTACATTTTTCGCCGTCAGTCAGTTTTATCTAGGATTTTGTATTTGAAATTGAGTTATGTTAACAGACAAAGATGTACTTGCTATTTACTGTGAAAATTCATCTAAAAAAACAACTCAAATATTCACGCATATTTATTTTTAAATTTTATTTCATAAATATTCATACTTAATTAATCAAAATTTCACTTAAGAAAAAAATGGTAACTTATCATAAATATAATCATTTAAAATAAAAAAATAATTTATTTCCATTTAAACTCATACCCAAACACTGTCAAGTTCCTTCCTTGATTCTTCATTTTTATCAATAACTTAAATAATGAAGCATCGTCAATTCAACCTAAAAATATTTTATACCAGTTTTAAGTCAAACTGACAATTTTGTCATGCACCAATCCAATTTATATTTCAAAACTAAGTATAAAGGTCGGTGCTAATCTGACGATAGATCCGTCTAATGCCACACGGAAATTTGCGTTAGTAATCAGTATGCAAGGTTGAATGTCAAATGACGGTATATTTTGTTAGTTCAAACGTTCCGCAGCCGTACCGAGACTTCTTTACCGTCATATGCACCGACTTTAAAATAGATACAATAATAAACCTACCTTACTATCTACTTATTATTATTTTTTATCTAATATTACAGTATTAATCGGTTACTTATAGCGTTTAGATTAAGCTGTCACATAAAAATAAAATAATTTCGGAAATAGTTTCATAATTGACGGAGTAATACATAAAAAAAATATATTCGAATTGAGAATCTCCTCCATTTTTGAAATCAGTTTAAAATAAATCAGTTATTATTTTCCTTCAATATTGTTTATTTATTTACTCTATTATTTTTAATTTGTAAGAGAAGAATTAAGTCAAATATCCAAAATCAATTTTATTGTGCATTAAAGTCCAAATTAGTTCTATTCAAAAATTTGTTAATAAAGTCCATGTTTTACTTTTGATAGTTTGGTTAATGTTACTAACTTAATTTTAATAACAGTTCCGTTCACAGCAAACAAATAAACAATTCTCTTCTAATAGTTATTATAAAACTTGACAAAAATAATCGGTATTGTGGTGAACACGACAGTCATTTTAAAACCAACAGCTGTCAGCTCGTTTGCACGGTAATATTTTGGAAGTAATTAAAGATTTGATGCTTTGAACTGCACAATTAATAATCGTCTGTTCGTAATTTTGTCTCATTTTATAATTATTTCAGTGTTAATCTTAAGATTTCATCGCTAAATCAAATTAGGCATCATCTGAAGTTACACGTTTTATTCAATAGATTAAATTATGAGATGCAATCAATACAGTTTATTAAAATCGTATCTACCAAAATAGTTTTAACAAAATATTTGCTTTCTAATTTCTTATATAAAACCAATGATTTATGAGATTTTAACACAATATTTATTTATAAGTAATACTGATTTAAGATTTTAAAAGTGTAAAATAAAAATAAGACAGCTTTATACCTAAATGAGATTAAAAATAATAATTTAGTTATGTTTACTATTTCCATCACTATTTTCCATCTTCGTACTCCTTTCTCTTTCCAATAATCTTCGTCTCACTTCCTCAGGATTGTATCTCTTTCTGTATACTCTTCTGACACGCCTTACAGGGTTTACATTTCTCGTTTTAATGACTTTCTTCTTTCCAAAATTATTATGAGCGATGACTGAAGGCGCTCTAGAGTCCTCTAATTGTCTAAAAGTCCTAGGTTTTCTTGTTGCATTTGTAAAAATATCTCTTTGCTCTCTAATTGTTGCATCATAAAACACTTTACCGTTAACAATAGCTTTTCTTATGTTGTCTGTAGTAGTTAAAACTCTGGGAGGTCTAACAAATGTTGTCTCGCTCACTTCTAAACTTCTATCAGCATTTCTCTCTCTTTCAATATCGTCTTTCGAAATTTTTTGTATTGTACCTCTCCTTTCTGTTGTAGGAAACTTGTTGCCGAAATTAAAGTCCGCTAGATCTTTGTCGATAGCTATGTTTCTTGATTCCAAATCTTTTTGGGAACGCTTTTCTAAAACTAGTTTACTGCCACGTCTCGAGGCTAACAATCTGCCGATAGCTTCAATCTGTCTCTCTTCAGCCTCTAACGTTTTTAAGTCAGATATCTTCCCTCCCGTTTTCACGTCCTCAATATCTAGTACTTCTATAGGTCCGGTAAAATCCACCAACTTATCATCGATGCCTTTAATCTTTTCGCTTTGCTCTGAAATGTTCATATTTTCTGGTTTTATTGTTTCAACATCAGATTTATTAATTTTCTCTTGTCTTTCTTCTACTTTTGGTGTGGTTTCTTTTATTACAGGTTTTTCTGTTGTGCTAGTTGTGGTCGTAGTAATTTTAGCTAAATCTACATGAAAAATATCCTCATCGGTTATATTTCTAGTTTTCTCGTCTCTGTGGCTTCTTGCTTCAACTACATCTTTTGGTTTATCTGTAACTCTGTCGAATTCTGGACGGGGTTGTTCTCTTGGAGGTGATATAGGGCCAAGTGGGTAGTTTTCTGTGGTCATAGAGCTTTGTGTTTCGTTGTATGTAAAATAAGTCATATTCGGAGGTGGGCCTTTGTGTAAGTAAGCTACAGGCCAATATCTGTAAAACAAACATATTTTATGAATGTTAAACTCTTTTCTACTTTATATTAAATTTATCACTGTCGCAATGATAGTAAAAAATAATATATGGATATTATTTTTTACTATCAATGGATTTTTAATCCATCAAATGTTTCATTTCTTCGCATTCTGAAAATGTCTAAAACTACCTGATATAAAAGGAAGGAAAAAATAAATTAGTGACTAACTACATTGAGTTCTGCATCACTATCAAAATTTTAATTCAATGTCACTAATGTCTGCTTTCTTTGTTGCAAATATACTGTTTTAAAGAAGACACAAACCTGGGTACTCCTAACCCAGCAGCAGCTGGTGGTTCTTGCAACGGCTGCGAAACCCAACCGTCTGTTGATGGCTGACGATACTTGTGTCTATATCTGATATAAGGACGCTCCTCCGTAGGAACTCTAGTGTATCCTAGAAACAAAGAAAATATAAACTACTCATTAAGTGCCCTGTGAATGTGTGCTTATAGCACCTGTACATGAGGATCAGCGATCAAAAGGTGAGACGCACGATACTAGAAACTGCAATGGCCGATATGGAACAGGCTTTCTTCAGTTGATCCATTTTCAAGCATACCTCATCGCCTTGCAAGTGCCTAGGATATCTGAGATCTTTCAACATCCAAACGTTCGATATGTCCACCTACTAGATCCCAGGATCTACACACTAAAAACCGTCCAATATATCTTGACTATGAAATGCTCGATCTACTTTTTAGTAGAAATGCGTTACGTTCTTACTATTTAAGTTGTTAAGCTGTTCCTTTTTGTAAGGGTTAAGTATCACTAGACCGATCTTCCATCATAAGTATCTGCGTTGGATCGCTATTATCAAGGAATCGTTTCAGCCTCTTAATTAGCTATTAGATAACAAAAGTTATTGTTTATGATGTGAGTAATCTAGTCCTGTGAGATTACTGATGTTTACTGTTTTTAAAGCATTATTGGTTATAGAAACTATGGAAATGTCACGTTTCAATCAATATTAGGATAGCTTTTCATATTAACGTGACCCTAAAAACCAAGGCTATGATAAGTATTATTAATGTTGTGATTGTTTTATCACCGAGTTCTCTCATCGGTTTGTTGATTGTTACTTGATACTTAAGTGGAAATAACTTCGGTTATATTAGTTATTTGTAACATATTATGAGTTACTGAAATTAAACTTACCTACATACATGTCTATTTTAATCTATCATTATATGAACGAATTCTTTAACTTCGAAAAAATATATAACTTTACCTATAAATAAATTAACGCGTTCGTACAAGATCTTAAAATTTGTATGCTTTGGACATCATTAGTACGTCCAGGATTTCTAGTAATTTTTAACAGATGGTTACATTAAACTTAATTATAAATATATGCCTATATTGTCAAAACATATAACAATATCATGCAATTAGGTTTCTCATAACCCTTTATTGTAACAAAAATGGTGATAACTCGAATTTATTTATAGTGAAAGGTGATATTGTGTTTCAACATTACAAGTGAAATTAAGTGAAGTATTTTGATATATAATAACAAATATGTGTCTCTAAATACAAGTGAAAACGGTGAAAAGTGATGTTTATAAATTCAGTTCAAAACAATACGTGCCTGGCAGGGGATTCCCATACTTATCATAGTACGCTTGTGGACCATTTTTGTACAATTCGTCCCAATATTTTCTATCTGTGTTTGATAAATATGGACCTATTGGTCTATCTGATCTATCAGGATTATAAATGTGGCCTGGTCTACGTGGTGGTAAGTGTTCTGTTGGAGAAATGTACCGGTAAATTTGGTTGTTATATCATAGAGTAAAAAAATACAGAAGGTCATCTTTCAAATTGCCTTTTATGCTGCTTTTGTCTAACAGACATTCATAATTGCAGCCGGATTATCATAATTTCTTTTTTTTATTTATTTAATTTACCTTAATTTAATTTACCGCATGTCCATGCGGAATGTTGAAATAATTATTTTTAATTTTGTCAATGGTAAGATTTATTCTTTTTTAATTATTATATTAAATAGAAAATAATAATCGAATAAATTTTATTCGATTTTAGGTATTATTTTTTCAATCTGTTATTTTCTTTTACTTCCTTCTTTCTTGCCATTCTTACCTCTATGACCTTGTGATGGATGTGGTATATTATGCTGATGGTATGGGTAGTATTTGTCGCTGCATGGACGCCATTGGTCTTCATTTGTTCCTACGTAACACCTGAAAAGTCGTTTTATACGTATTAACGAACATAAACTTTTCAAATGTGGACCCAGTCTTGTTCAGGTAGAACGAAATAGTATCCGTGAAATAAATCTTAATTGCAATTTTTATTTTCAACTTTTTAAATCGGTTTTCAAGTAAAAGTAGAGCTTACATCATCAGTTTATATTACTTTGACTCAGACCTCTGCTATGGAAAAAAATAAATAGGGAGAACCACGGATGATGTCTGAGAAAATAACATCTCACAAAACTTAAAAACAGCTTTAATAACAGGCGTTACAGTTAAGAAATGAGTCGCTCGCTACGTTACCTACGTCACAGTTTTGTAGGAAATCTACAAAAGTGTGACGTCATGTGACATTAAGTCAATGTATCACCGCAATTTAATTATTACGAAAAAATAAAATCAGATATTTTTAAACAACCTACTTGACGGACAAATAAAAAAATAGTAATTTCCCCTATTTGTGTAAGTGAACCATTTGCTAGCGCAATTATTTTTTTTTTAAATAAATGTGATTATACCATGGTTTGTGGAATCCCTCGCTATAGCCACATCGATGTGTCGGAGCGCAGCAGTAGTCCCAGGAACCTTTAATAAATAATTAAAAAATATTTACAAATTATATTTGTATGACTAAATTTATGAAAAATTCATCTTTTAACAGAATCAGTTTTCAAATATATCAAGATTTATTTGCGTATTCAAATCTATTATCCAAGTGTTAAACGATAAACGTCCCAACGTCGGCCCGGATAAATCCTACAATTACTACTAATCCTACAATTTGTGATGATATACGTAATATCTGAAAAAATGCTAAAAAGAAAACCGCATCAAAATCCGTTGCGTTGTTTAGAAACAGACACGGAGCGGTGAAGAAAATTGAGCTTTTATGTATATACAAATTCACTGCATGTAACGACATCTAGTATGAAATCTAGTACTAAACTGGTTGAGAAGTTGAGCCTCATCCAGTTTCGAGGGAAAATTTTATTTATTTATACCTGACGCAGGGAAATGATTAAAAAAGAGACTTGATCGATTCCTTGAAAGATGATCAAATGACAATATTGATTTTAATTATATAACAAAATTTTCAAATTAATAGATTACATATATATAATTAATATAAGCAAACCTTCTTTGATCCCAAATATTTATATTATTCAATTAAAGAAGAAATCAAATCTCTAATATTTGTTCTAGTAGAGTTTCTTCAAAATTAGTACCTACCAAGGTGAGTTACGATATGTTTTTTTTCTCCAATTCACAAAAACAGATTTTCAAGATTTGATCATAATATTGAATATTTAAACTATTTGATAATTAACGTGCTTTTATTTTAATCATTAAAGTGTAAATTTTAAATTATTGTTATTTTGATTCCCCTCGATTTGATCGAATCCCTTCAATTTTTTCTTTCTTACAACTCTCTGTTGGTGTCACTCCATTCAAGGGAATGCACGGGGTTTTATTTGGAATTTCGTGCTTCTACTTGCTTAATGGTCCTCCATAGTAGGATTAGGTCCGTTAGCGGAGGAGAATCCCGTGTACCACACACACATACCGTCCTATTAGGCGGCAAATTAGTGCCAAGAATAATACATAACTAGGGTTACCAGATGATCGGGATATGTTTGGATTGTACCCAATATTCTGTTTTTTTCTGCCCATCGCAGAAAAATATTTTTTCTTGTACCGACTATGTCTCAAAATGCCAACTTGTAGCAAGTTTTGCTAAACATTTGTTTTCCCATGTGGTGACAACCACATTTCCCATAGTTGAGACAATGGTTTCACACATGTGTTTTTATCGTTTTACTTGCGACATATGTACTAGCTTTCCGTCAGCGGCTTCGCCCGTTTGGCCAGTATAAACTTTTCTCCAATTTACCCTATTTCACTCACTTAGGGGTTGAATTTCTAAAAATAATTTCTTAGTGCCCACTAACATCGTAAAAAGAACCTCTATATTACAAGTTATTAGGTACAGTAGTAACGGCTCGAAATCACATATGCACACACATGTACTCACCTACTTCTCCGCCTTCAGGCTCACACGCCCAATGTCCGGCGACCTGATTTTGAGCACATGTAGTACCAGCCCTACATGGGAATCCCGAAACTGTATAATGACGCCACGACACTGAAACTACAAGGTAAGATACACTTTTACTTGATAGCAAAAGTATTATAGTTCGTAAACATAGAAGTGATACTTTCTTTAAAAAAAATCAGTCTAACATACAAATCTCCTTCCTAGAAAAAACTATTTGTATCTCAGACAAATAGTTGTATGTACAGTTAACAGTACGTCAAGTTATATAATTCAAATCTTAATTAAAAGCTGATTTAAGGCCAGAGTTTAAACCAACTGGTGAAATTTGACATATTGTGATAACCAGACGTCCATAATATACAAAATATACGGAGAACAAAAATTTACAAATAAATTACTAATTGTAAGAGTTATTTAGTCTTAAAAGCCATTATGATTTAGGTAACACTGAAAATTCAAGTTAGTCAAAGGTGTTTTTGTTATCACTAAACTAACTAACTACTTAAGTGACAAAATGTGCTAAATGATGAAATGCAATTATACATTTATCTTAAAGCATAATGATTGTTGTACATTAGATGATACTTTTTTGTAAGTATGTAATTTATTATGTCAAAACTTTACGTCTCTTGTTCACCTGTAACAGTAAATAATAAATTAATATTAAATATCCAAATTTAAAAAAATTATATTCTAAAGGTTCCTAAGAAAAGTCTAACTAACATGAAATCTCATTAGAAGCCGTGGCGTAGCTGCCAAAAATCAAACGAGGAGCTTTTTAGACATTTTTTCTATATACAAAATCGGTTGAAACACAGACAAACAGACGAGAGGTTTGATTTTTGGTTTACGATTCATTTTAATTTCTTGGTCTTTCATTTTGGGTACATTTACTATGTATGCAAATGTCATAGTAACAAATGTATTTGATTAGCAGCTATTAAAGGAAGTACAAGAACGATGCTAATGCGGTAGTACAAAATTACAATCAAAATTTAACGGTAATCTAATGCCACATGTAATAATGCAAGAAATATGTAATTATACTCTTGCAGTGCTATTAATAAACGAAGTTTAAACGTCAGGGTGAAATGACGCTAAAATTGCAATGTTATTATTAGTCCAAATTCTACAGAGAATAAGCAAACCTACTACCTTCTAGGAGTAAATGTTACTCCTGTAGAACACCTAATGGGCACCTTTTCGAAGTCTCTGTTTAATAATATGAAGTTTGACTAATACTAAGTGCAGTCTCGAAGCAAGTGTACTCCAACGCTAAACCTTGTTTATTAATAAAGCTGTTGTATAATATAATGTTTATAATAACTTTATTTCTGTCGTCTTAGCTTTTGCGAAATTGAAAACGAAGTTTAAATTTAGTATTGTTTGTGACAACATAACTTATACCATTATTATAAGACGTATAATATTCTTTACTTACTTGGCTCTTGTATCTCTCTGTCCCCATAACCAGGTTTCGGCCTATCCGGGTATGGTCTTCCAATAGGTCTATAACTGTGTTCAGGTGGAGGTCTATATTCAGGTCTTCCTGTCTCTGGTCTATAACCCGGATACCTTTCGGGTCTATAATCGTGGTGATCGTCCAGTTCAGGTGGTCTAAAACCAGGTTTGAATCCATCATACCCAGGTCCGGTAGGTTCAGACGGTCTAAAGCCGGGTTTGAAACCGTGATAATCTGGTCCTGAAGGTTCTCTGTAATCGGGCTCAACCGGATAACTGGGTTTGTAACCTAGCGGGGAGATGTCTGGATTGCTCGGTCCGGGATATATCGGTCTTTCCGGTTCGGAATATCCAGGTTTATAGCCAGGTCCAGATGGGCCTGAATCGGGTATGTAGGGTGGTCCTGAAGAAAACAAGATCTCAGAAATAATATAATAGAACAATTTTTCAATACCAAGTGTCCTTGACGAGACTCAAAGCCGACACATTACTCAATTCGCGCAATTTCTCTAACCAATTGAAGTACTTATCTTATATTAAGTAAGTATCTTAAAGAGACTGATTGATTTCGAAGTCAATCCATCGAAACATTATTTTAACAAATTTTAACAAAATTTATATCTTTTGATTATTAGAAAAATGTATCTTCATTATTACTTTCAATACATTTTGGATTCACAATACAATATTGAAATATGTACTGTATATTATATTAATAGAAAGAAAGACTTAAGCCCTACAATGGGGAGGAGACTTAAATAGTTACATCAGAATGATGCTTACCAGCTGGCCTGGGTAGATATCCAGGTCCACTTGGTCCTGTACCCGGGTATGTCTCTTCACTTGACCCGTATATAGGCCTTGGAATTTCAGCAGACGGTTGACTGTAATCAGAATATACGTTGAATATTACAGCATATTTATTATAATAATAATAATAAGACAAAATTATAACTCTGAAAAGAGAAAGAAGTGAAAGGGAGAATAATAACAATTTACATAGAATTTTATGAATATATAATATTATATATCCTATATAAAAATAATATACCGACTTCAATAAAACGAAAAGTATAGACTTAGAAAGATAGAAAATATAAAAAGCAATGTTTTTAATTCGTTAATTGCCTTCCCAGTTATTAATTGAATATTTTATTATTCGGTTTTAAATTAAGAAAACAAAACGAAGTGAGAACTTTGTAATCTTTCCGATTTTGAAAAAAACTGCACACTTTTCAAACAAAAATAACTCAAAGAACTCATCGAACTCCTCCATCTCTCCATCGAGGTCCTCGAAATGGCTGCACTCATCCGCCAAAATCATAATAACATTATTATTTAGAAAAAGTGTGCGTGAGGGGGGAGGGGGTAAAAGCAATATCAAGATTCTGCCTCGGTTAGAAAAAGTTGTCGATCTGGGCCTAATGCCGCCCGGGCATTGGATGAGGTCATTCCGCCACTCTGAAGGACGGCCTAATGTTCTTGACCATCAATAAGGGACGCCTGAGGCCCTGCAGTGGAGACATAAAAGGGCCGATGAGGATCATGGACTTTAAAATTTGAATTTTTACTACTTACTCGTACTCCTTTCCATGCACTTTCCTCCAACATTGTCCGTTAAATAAATCGAAAGCGAACAACCAGTCGTCCTCAGAATGTTTGTAGTCTACGCCTCGTTGTAGATCGAACAGACGTATCTCTGATAGGAGACAGTTGTCTATGCCCGGAGGCGCGTTGGTGCTGTAAGGTAATTATAATTTGATAAAAATCTTTGATTATCATAGTCCTTTACTTTGATAGTCAAAGAGTTTGATCACGAGTTTTCCGAAACTGACCAAACAAATTGAAAAGCGCACAAATGAAAGTTTCAACAAATTTTCGTTTCATTAACAAGAGCAGACCTATCAATTCCGACGATTACCGGCTGTATGATAAGAATGTATAGCAAGTCCTGTTTAAATAATCGTAAGGGGTTCATGTCATTCATAGTCAACAGGGATCAAGCGCGTGCACATTGGTAGCTCGCCCGATGACGCAATATTTGAATCATTCTGATTGGCCGACGTTTGCCACGTTTCAAAATTTAATCTTCATCAGTGTCATCAGTTGTCTATTTTTAATCGGAAAGTTTACATAATTTAATGCTTTTAAACATATGGGTTTTCATATGCTATCAATTAAATGAAAGGCTTGCTGTGTTCATAATCTATAATATATCTATATATATATATAACTCAAAGGTGACTGACTGACATAGTGATCTATTAACGCATAGCCCAAACCACTGGACGGATCGGGCTGAAATTTGGCATGCAAATAGATGTTATGACGTAGGCATTCTTTAAGAAAGGATTTTGATAAATTCCACCCTTAAGGGAATAAAATAGGGGATGAAACTTTATATCAGGTATTTGGTATTTCGAAGAAGTCGACGAAGTCGCGAGCAAAAGCTAGTGTAACAATAATAGTTTGAAGTTCTTCACAGAAACAGACGAAAGTAGATCTTAAATTCTATTCTTAATACGGGGACCAAAATTTAGAAAGATAATTTTTTTTACATTACCGGAATCTCTGAGATTTTTTGTTTTCAATATACTTTTGCATTAAAGTCTCATAACGTGAGTCCGACTCCTTGATCTTTTTTTAACTTTTTCATTTGTCTAAAGAGTTTTTCATCTATACTAACTTGTAAGAGAAGCTAAGACATCTAAATGGTGCATCGGTGCACGCTTCGCCGCATGCTTGTTCGTCCCTCACTCTAGTCCTGCCTCGAACCGCAGACCCCACAAGCCTAGCCGCACTATCGTACCGTAGGTAACATTCTGCAATAGATAAAAAATAAACATTAGGCAGCATCACACGAAACCAAATCCTAATTTTATAGGTATTTGAGAAATTAACATACAGTAAAACCAAAAAACTTGATGATAGTCAAAAGTATGATTAAAATTTAAAATCAAACTGATAATATTCAATTATTTTGTGTTTAGATAGTATTCCACAATGAAGAAAAGATGTTAAACTATAAGACGTAAATTAAAATGCAATAAGCTTTCGTTTTAGCTGTGCGGCTCAGCAGTTGCTACTAGAATGAATCTGTCGTTTATAAGTCTTGTTCTTGTTATCAGCCGTTCGAAAACTTTCTGAACTAGTGGTAGGCAAAAACATAATTGCTTGTCATAATCTTAATGGAATAAAGAATTTTTAGATTTTCATCTAAATGGCCGACATTTGCCCTACCCAATTTCTCGCAGAAGATAAATAATGAGTGTCCACTATAAACGTGGATTTTGCTACCTCGGCTAGTCACCAAAACTTGGCCAAAATATGTCCACTTCTTGTTTACAACATTTATACGTTGGAAGTCGTTTGCACAAATCAAGTACTGCAAATATTATCGATAGTTGGACACTAACCAAATAAAGTCAACCTTGTTGTTGACCTTTAATTTTTTCTACTGAATTGGGTCAAGGTCAACAATCTGTACTGGACAATGAGTGGACGATTTGTTTTTTTTTTAATTTATTTATAATCATTGGTACTTAACTAAATACATTACATTTTTTCTTATATGGTCTAGATGTTCATTCTTTGTATTCTAAAAACTTTTACTTACGATTCTCTCTATAATGGGTGTCATCATATAAAGCTGGCTCACATCCTCTACCATAGTTTCCTCTCGCGTACAACTCGTGTCCAGAAGTGGGACGTAGACCCCTCCCGCTCTCCAGAGAAGTTGGTGGAGATGACGTCAGAATGCAATTCTCTAAGTCATCACCGATGGTTGGTGCGTCGTACCTAGACAAAAATAAAAATGGTAAGAAATAAATACAAACTATACAGATTTTTAAATTTAAAAACAGTTGTACTTGTTATTTTATTGTAATATTCAACTGTGATCGCTATATCATTTGACAATACTGTATTTTATTTTAATTTATAATCCTACTTTAAAAAATTATTTTAAAATTACTTTTAAAAAAACTATAGTTTAAAAAATTAGACATAAGTAGTGTATAATATTCTTTACAGGCTGTAATTTCCTATGTACGCCTCTAAAACGTATAATTAGGTTTTGTACATCTCGCAGATAGGTTTAAATACGTTGCATTCTCAGTCGTTATTATGTAGTTACCTAAAACTGAATCCTCTGCAGAAGAAGGAATGCGCCCGTATACACTCAGCTTCGCATGCACCGAGACCGGCCACTGTGATTGCGGCGCGAGCAGCCCCCGCCCCCACCGCTGCCCCCGATCGCACGTGCCAAAAACACTCTATACACACATAAAAAATATAATATAACGGATATAAGGTACTATAACCTGCTTCGTTTAGTCCACTATTTGACTTTTAAATAAAAGACCAACTAGAATGCGTCTCCATCACAGTTCCAAACAAACTGATAAATGAGATCAGAAAAAAATAATGAAACCTATTTCAATTGGATTATTAGCACTCTAGTGGTTATATCGGTCTTATTCGTATTAGGCGACTTACTCGTACATACTTACCTTACGTATGAACTTTGACTAAAAAGACTATGAGTTTTTTTTTATCGTATCAGGAATACTTTAGGAAGTTTGATACTTTGATTTATGCTTTACACTAGGTCGATTGCTGGTTATCACTATCGTATGACATTTCAAGACTTTACGAGTTTTAAAAGATGAAATGAAGGGAAAAGAATATAGTAAACGTCACCGATGTACTGAGAAAATTCAACAAAAATGATATCAAATATATTTAAGAGTCTTATCCATAGTAATATCAACATCACCATTGATTATAATCTCTAGTATATTAGCTGAAAAAATCTTACCGCTCTCAATCCATGGTTGATGGCTGACTACAGAGCACCCATGATGTTGTGGCATAGCATACACATCTGAACCACTATCCGCAGCTAGTTCTAGACCTCGGTACGGTCTCTCGCTTAGGAAGCAATTGTCAGTACCTCTACTGCTGGAATACCTATAATAAAATCATAATATTATCTTTATCAGCAATTTTTTCTTCAACTTTCGTCATATATCTGCTTATAAATATGTCATAAATGTAATCAGGCTCAAGGTCCTAAGTAGGTTCGTAATTATTTTATCTTATTTACCTGTAACTGTAAGAGACGCATTTGAACTCGGTCTCGTCGAAACAAGCAGTTTCGCATTCAACTACGTTGCGAGCCCACAACGACCTTCTTATTGCACCTGAACCCAAAGACATACCAGGTTTTCGTCGAGAGGAACAATCTGCGATAAAAAAAACAACATTCTAGCGAAAATTTTAAAAATAATACTATAACCAAAAATGTGTTCCCGCAGTTTTTACTCCTTGCTACACAGTAACTAATCGAAGAGATGTAAACAATCCTACTAATATTATATATTTGTTAAGTTTATAAGGTTATATGAATGTTTGTTACTCTCTTACGCTAAAATACTGAAAGGATTTTGATGAAATTTGGCATAGGTACGGATAATTATAATGTAGGCTACTTGTTTTCCACTAAACAGTTCCTCAAGTCCCACGCCGGCAAATACGTTATATTCAGACGTTGAAATATTCTTAACACAGTTTTCTAATTTTAATGCTTTCATTAGAAGCAAAATATTGTTTTAGATATCTCTTTCTTAGAAAATTATAATAAAAAACGTCATCTATATCACCTTTATATAAAACATCATCGTCTCTCTCCACTGACTCATAATATATCTTAGGTTTCTCATAATAAGTAGACTCTCCATAATCCAGACCATTATGACCACCTGAGTTATTCCATCTACCTCTCTTCCAAGCACCATAGCCGTACCTAAAATTACCCATATACATATATCATTAATCCTATTAATATTATAAATGTGAGAAATTAAGCAAATATATATATTATTAATCCCATTAATATTATAACTGTGAAAGTTTCTTTGTTTGGATGTTTGTCCGTATTCACGCCGAAACTACTGAACGGATTTTTATGAACTTTGGTATACAGATAGGGTATTAGCTGACTTAGATAATAGGATACTTTTTATCCCACTAAACATTTCCCTAAGACCACACGGGCGAAAACTATTAATCAGTCAATTCAATATAAAAACAGTGAACAGTCATAGCAGACGTAAATACAATATTCGAAACTATAGACAGGTAAATATTTAACTCATAAAATAAATCATAAATATTGTATATCACATATATTGCTCAGATCTCAAAGTAACTCGCACGTCATGCTACTACATAGTACATTCAGATTTCTTGATTACATATAGCTAAGGAATAACGTATATACATCTGAACTCGATTTTTAATTTAAATAGTATTATTACAGAATGTCACTACTTTCTTGTTATCAAATACCTAACAGACTACGTAGATATAAAGAAATACTAGCTAAAAACAAACAAAGCGATACAGCTTCCATGAACTTGATTTTTTAAATAAAAAATACTTTTATTAAACCCTAGGTATGGGGAGAAAGATTTAAACAAGGAGCCCCCTGTATCCAAAAAATAAAATATCCTGGTCATGGCACCACCTATAATGGTATACATAGCTGCACGGCAGAATACGACAATATGTCGAATTTCTCCAGTTGATTTTAAACTTTTACCTATAAAACATTAAGGTTTAAAATCAAATGGTGAAATTTGACAGATTTGTATAACCTGACATACATGATATACGAGTATTATAAAAATCGTTATTAACTCTTGACGCAAGTTATAGTAACCATTCCTTACCTATGATTCAAGGGCTTATCCTTGCCGAGACTAAAATAATCAAAGTCACTGTTATGTCCAGGTTTTACACCAACAGGTCTATCGATGTCATTCGGTAGCCTCCAATGATTGATAGACTTGTGGTAGTCGTTCCTATCCTTGTAATAAGTGTCGTAACCACCATAGGAGCCACCGTAAACACCCCAGTTTTCTATATCAGCTTGGCCGTCATCACTTCGAGCAACGCCTGCAAAGATATGTAAGACTTAATTGAAGTCAATTAAAATTACTAATTTATGATTACTAAAATGTAAGTAATTATGAACAATCGCAGTGAAACTCGAAACCGGTTGAACCGGTTCTGCTTATTTTGATAGTTCTAATAAAACATGGAGAAATCGCAAGGAAAATAGAAAACACGACAAATTTATTTTCCAAAATCAAGTGGTCACACCTTCCAGAAATTGTATTACAAAACTTTGTGAAGAAACTAAGTGTCCCGCATCAGTTTACTAATGGTTACATCTTATTACAAGTCAAATTTCTCTCATCTATTTGTCAACTTAATCTGTTGCTAATTAAGACCAAAATTAATAAAAGACGCTGTTAACCTGTAATTCTGTTGAAACATTTATTACCTTTCCAAATAGGTTTTATTGGATTAAACATCTACGCAGCAGTATATAGAGAGGAGCTCAATGTCGTAGTGGTAGCGCGCTTGATCTGCGATATAGTTCTTAAGAAATTTTCGCAATATCCGGTTATAGGATCGGTGACTAAAATTTATTAACTCTTACTCTTAAAGCTCTTTCGTGCTTCAAAAGTCACGCAGTAGATATTACCACCAATCCGCACTAAGCCCGCAGTGGGTCATGTGGCTCATTCTCTCTAATCGATTTCATCCGTAGGTTATGTCAGACCCAGCATTGATGATAATAATAGGCTGATGCTGATTATTGATGTACTTCTGTGTGTATTACGTTTCATAATAATCTAAATATTGTCATAATAATATGAAGACTGAGTGACGCTAAAGTTTGTCATATACTCGTACAAGAGGTTATATCTCACCTATTTGGTAAGGCACAAATAACTTGTCGTGGTGGTATCTTCTCCTCTGGTTGCGTCTGCCATCACCATAATACCTATCATAGTTGTTATACCTGGTGTCGTAAACGTCTACCCTCTCGCTCCACTGGGGTTGGTAGACTGGCAGTCTGAAATTAAAAGATAAATCATACTATTTACCTTTTTCTTGTGGCTTTCGAATGATTAGTGTTTATTTATTTTTTGTTTTTTTTTTAACACTTTTGTCAACTACTTTATGTTCTTGGAAAGCTTAACAGAGTTACCTAACATAATATCCAGTTATGTTTTAGTTTAAACTGTATTTTCCTAATTTTCAATATATGACGTTTTAATCTTATTCAGACACATTTCGAATGAAAATAACCATCATAGATATTATTAAATTAATGACAGAAACTGCTGCTGAGCTCCAGCTAGCTATGAAATTGATATTATTATCGGAATCCTGCTTGAGCTGAATACAAAACAAGCCTTATTAAGGTTTCTTTTTCATAATTCTCCGGTTGGATGGAATCTAATGGCATTAAGTCCGCCAATTGTACGCTCAAATTGCAATAAAGTTGAAATAAATCATAAATATAATAATTTGAATGCAATTACCAAAAGTGAATTTCTCAGAGAGTTAATTTAATTTAATATTTATATTGAAAATAATTCTCGGAGTTTAATGCATAGCTTACCTGTCAGGTTTTGAGGATAAAAACCCCGAGTGTAGTATACCGGGACCTCTCAATGATTCTGGACAGTTGGGCTCCAAGCTGTTCCTGTCTATTTCATAGAAATCATAGTCTTTATCATCAACGAAGTCCCTGTGAAGATCAAAGGCTTCTATTGGATACGTCATCAGCTCGCACAGCCCTTTACCGCGAAAAGAAGGGTCCAATCTGAAAAAGAAAAGAATTGTCATCATTAATCTACTATTCTTTAATATTGCCACAAGTTTCAGAAGAGACATCTACCGATTTCGTTATGTAGCAGTTATATGCCTTAAGAAATCTTTACTAGTTTGACCATATTATAGTACTATACAACTATTTCTAATAAGTACACTATGTAATACTATTGAATAGGGATGATGACAGGGCAAAAAAAAGAAATTTAACAAGAAATGGCATAGATAATAGGCATTAAACTTGAGGAGTGGGGGTTTGCTACGTCATAACTATGTAGAAAATATAAAAAGGTGTAAATGTATCGCCGTAATTTATTGATTATGTAAAAAATTAAAAAAAAAACGTGTTTAATATTCTTCAATAACCTACCTGTTAGACGGACAAACATAAATTAGTCATCTCTGTTATTTAAGTAAACAGTAAAGCGGTCTGTTTATTCTGTAGCCTCTCAATTTAAATAATCCTCTTCTCTCTCCTTCTCCTCGTATAACACGTGCTTACCCCCAGATCTTGTGAGCTAACACCCATTTTTACCTACCTATACTTGATAATTTCACATCTTTCAGACCACTATCAATCTTCATACTATCTCTCTCATAGCCGGGTGCAATGTGAAAGACAGAGGCAGTCCTTTGACATTATGACTCCCTTTTATTTAAAATACGATGTGTCGGAATGACCATAGATAATTGCAAATCTAATGTAAGATCACAAAGCCCGTTCACTGTATATTCCATTCTAAGTGCTCAGCTTAAAAATCCACTTTCAGTACAGCAATAATAGCTTCCCAATTAATAGCTCATCTTCATTAAAAATCATGTTAATAACATAAACTTGACATTTATGATCAGAACATACTCGGATAATGCGAATTAGACCGTGACCAAGGTTGATACTACTGACATGAAGCTATCTATACACTTGCTATGCTAAAATGTACTTAATGTAAATAAAATAAAGAGTAACGTGGAAAGTGATGGAGTGACTGACAGATTGAGGTTGGAAAATACTAAATAGGTCGCTAAATAGATGATGATTACCATGCCATGATAATGAGGGCAATTTTCAGCATTAGTTTTGTGTCAATCAATTGTTTAATTTTTTACACATGAATTCAAGTGCTCGAGGATCCTCCACAAAATTTCGTTAATTTTCTATAGCGAATAAATATGCTATAAACTATTACTGCACTATAACAGTATGTAGTAGTCCCAATGGACCACAGAGGATTTTTTTTTTATAAATCATTAGTTTTATAGATGCTATCCCCCACCCCTCCCAATGAACGTATACTAAATAAGCTTAGATTAGTATAGAACCGTAATCAGCAATTTTCAAAGTATTTTCGTCAGTGCGTCTTTACGTGCTCCTCAACTCGTGTTTGTTTGTTTGTAGGGTCTAATCTACAGAAATACTGATCCGATCATAATATTTCTTTCACCTACCGAAAACTACATCATACGCGGGTAACATACGCTAAATATATCGGGAAAAAATCGCGTAAAAACAACTTCAATATTCCTCGATATCCAATTCTGTCAGCTAAGATAACATCTGCCTTGTAGGCTGTGTTGTGTGACCCGCTTACGCACTGACCGTAAGGAGAAGGGACTCTATGAGGTTATACGATAAAGGCTTACACGTACAATCGACAGCACATCAGGCTCTCAATTTTGTTCAAAACCGTCAGATAAAACGCGACAATCTGATTGCAAAAAGTATAACTTCACTTCCACCAAACATAAATCTTATTACTAATCCAAGCAGGCGAAGACTTGGGTAAAAACTAGTTTTCTACAGTTTCAATGAGAGTAGAATAGATAATATTTTTCGTAATTAAAGTTTATTCATTCATTTTTAAACATTAAGGTCGTCGGAGCCTTAAAAGCGTGTTAACACAATAGTGTGAACGTAATGTGGGAGAATTACTAAATATGACGGTTCTGACGCAAAATTTTAATAAGTTCATATAAATAATTCGAAATCACATAAAAACGGGAGCTGTATTCTATAACTCCGAAAAGGAAATTTCGATATTGTTATTTAAATAAATAAAGAGGAAACATTTCATTTTTGTTTGCATTGTATAGGCTCCGAAACTAATTCAATAATTTTAAAAATTCTTTCACCAATGGGTAGCTATATCATTCGCGGGTGTCATAGGCTATAATCAGAGAATGATAATTTACGCGGGCGAAGTCGCGGGAAAACCGCTAGTAATTGTGTATATTTAACGACCACTTGAATAGAGTGGCTCGTACGCCTGTTTAAAGGTGTCGCCGTCTTTGAAATTCCGGGTTCGATTCCTAATTGGCTAATTAAAGAAATTGAGCATTTATGATATCATCGCTGTTTCAGTTACACAATATAAGTGCTTCAGCTACTTAATTTTGAATCCACTTAATAATGAGGATGAGTACAGGTTAATTAATATCCACGTTACTTAATGAATTAAAAAGGATTGGTTTAGGAGAGAAACTTAATTTTTTAAGCAATGATTTATCTTACCTATAGTTGAAGCTTTCGCATGGGAATCTTCTTTCAAGAGCGCACTCTGTCCGGCAGTCCTCGAGACGCTCGCATACTACCACTTTTCTAACGAAAGATCGAAGCGCGCGCCGCCCCGCAAGCACGCGTCGGAAACAAGCTGGAAAAAAACGACAATCTATTAATATCATCATTAGCCCTTTTACGTCCTCACTCAGTCTCGAGCCTTCCTTATGGTCAAGGAGGATAGGCTTTAACCCTCCAAGCTGTCCCAATACGAATTGTAGGGTATTAACGACTGAAAATACAGCTGAGACTAATAGCTTAACGCGCCTTCCAAAGCACGAAGTTCGAGATAATAATTTTTGGTCATCCATCCCGTGACGACCCTTGCGAAAGTCGCTTAACAATAACGATTGTGGGCCGTGGCACTAAACCACTACACTACCAAGCTACTCTCACACACATCTGTTAATATATAACTTTTATGAATTAACATGACATGTGAGGATAATCTGTTCAACAGACGCATAAATTATTCATAGATCAATAGATCATAAATTATTGAAAAATGCATTTTTTGAAGTCGTATGCATTTTGAAAGTAAATATTTGCATTTTAAAAGGTCTTTATGTTTTCAGGTATCATATTAATTCGTACTAGATAGTACATGCTCTTTCCCTTAGTACAGTGGCAGCGCAAATTAAAATTAAATGTAGCCCTACACATTTTTGGAAACATAGAATCGAAGAAAATCGTGTCTTGTTCGGAAAATAATAAATATGTTGGATTTTTTGCTCCGTTTTTAGCCATTAAAAAGTTTATGGCATGCATAGTTTTATTTTTAGGGTTCCATACCCAAAGGGTAAACGGAACCCTATTACTAACACTCCATTGTCCGTCCGTCTATCCGTCTAGTACCAGGCTGTATTTCATAACCATGACAGATAGGTGAAAAGTTCCTAGATGATATATTTTGTTGCATCTATAACAAAAATATATTAAAAGCATAAAAAATAATTATTCAGAGGACTTCAATACTAGAACAGTTTTTTGTTTTTTTATTGGATAGTATACGGAACCCTTCGTGGTTGAGTCTGATTTGTACTTGGCCGATTTTTCGATCTTTTCTTAGCTTATATTGGCTTTAAGCGTGAGGTACACGGGTTTCATCTTCTGCGAGTTGGGGAAAATACTAGCGCGCTACTCCCCTACCAAACGTCTAATTCTCTGGCTATAACTCTAGTCATAGCCATAAAAACGTTCTATTAATTTTATCAATGAAGCTATTGATATTATGTTATAATTATTCGAACGTTTTTATTATTTATGTATTAAGTTTTTGATTTGTTTTTCTTTTATGATAGCTTTGTCTAAATTCTACTTTAAAAAATTTTATCTAATGAAAAAATGTATTAAACATTATAAAATAATAAAACATATTGTTAAAATCAATAAAGCTATGACCAGAGTTTTAGCGGGAAAATTATTTAATAATTATTGAAATATTTATGAATAGTCCCTAATATTTTGTTTTAGTAATTTAATAACTTTTAGTTTAATAATTTATCGTATGAATTTTCGGGAAAGATCAATTTAAATGTTGATATTTATATATTTGGAAATAATAAAAAAAAATTATAAATATTACATTTACCTTATAATAACGCAATAACAAACAGAAAAGAGATTTTGTTGAAACAAAGCCTAAAGTTTATTTTTTGTGGTAACAACAAAACTTAACAATAACAATCGAAAACAACATAAAATAACACAAATTGTGAGTGATCTCAACACAGCCCAACACAATCAGCGTACTTGTGGACCAGTGTTTATTTGTTAACGGTACTTATTTTTGAACGCAATGTGTGATGTGACCAAAATGGCGGCCAGGCGCATTAGCAATTTGCGGGGATTATACCTAGTAACATTTTATATATTAAAGCGTTATTTCTTAGATTAACAAAAAACGACCGAACTAATGAAATGTTATAAAACCTCTTTTCAAGGGGGTTTATATACTCTAGGGTTCATGAGAATACGGTGTAGGAATTCTATAGCATGATCGTGTAAAAATTTAACACTGAATATTCATTCATAATCATACGTTCTCATCAAAATATATTTTGTAAAAAAAAATTGAATATAGAAGGCTATTTTAACTTTCCATTCTGGCAGTGCGGCATTGTTTTTCTGGAAAATGGATATATTTAAAAAAGAACTTTATTTTTGGGATTGAATTTATTGGTGGGGATATATATGTGTGGAACTACGGGATACTCAGCGCGTGGTCATTGCCAAATAAAGTTGCCAAATAAGTTCTGCTTTAAAAAAAGGAAACATGATTTTAACGATCTAAAGATATTGATAAGTTTCTGTTAACACCACAAATCAAATAAATGCCTGCTTGAAAAGTAACAATTGATTTTACTTAAATATGATAATATATTCGTAGCACGCTACGAAGAATGCTACGACGGTTTACGAACACGTAGCAACAATCTAAATAAGAATGACGTTTATGCAGTAAATAAAAACTTTTTAATCGGTCAGTCAGATAATATATAATAAAACCATTCCTACGTCATTCTTATTTAAATTGTTGCCCCCACAAGCTGGTCACTTCACTACTATATATAAAATGTCAAATAACAAAGTCTTAAATTCAAAATAAAAAATATATAAAAACACTACAAAAGAGGCTGGCAAAGCTTTCTTCAACACCTGATGATATCAAATTTTGTGCAACAGCAACATCCCTATTCGTAAGCTCTGTCGTCACATGAGCTTTGACAAATGGTATTGCGTTTGAGTTTTAAATTTACCTCATTTTTACGATTTTATATAATTATTTGCCAATCGAAAGCGAAATAATTTTTAAAAGTATTTACGTAGAAATTATTCTAAGACACTAACGTTCATAATATATATCAGAATCTTAAATCAAACTCATATTCCATATTGCATAAAAATTATTTACTACAACCAATTTTTTATTCTATAAAGCAACTTTTTGCGCTGCTGGACGTCTTCGCAGAATATGTCGATAGTTTTATAATATAAAGTCAACAAAAAGTTTTTTGTTTTTGTTGTTTAG